TGGTATCAAAAGTTCTTATAAAAACGAAAAGGCTGTGGTCAGCAACATCAGCTGTCTCATAAAGGTAAGAACTTAAAAGTAGCTAGCTTTTTCATTTTAACAACTTATAAAAAATTATACCTACAGAAAAGCATATAAATCGTAAGTGTATAGTTAGGTGATTTATCACAAATTGAACACACTCATGTAAGCACTATCCAGGTCAAGAGGCAGAAAGCTACTGGCACCCTAAAGCCCACTCTGGCCCAGTGTAGGCATGGGGTCTTCCTTCTCCCCAAAAGTAACCAGCAGCCAGACTTTTATTATCACATATTGGTTTTGTGTTCTTTGAATTGTATAAATAACAGAGACACAAATTATATATTCATTTTCCACTAGATTTCTTCTGCAAAACAATAAGATGGTAAGCAGAAGCTATATTGTTGCAAATACCAGTTCACTTTCACTGCTGTATACTATCCCATAACATAAATATGCTGCAATTTATTTAACCATTCTACTCTTGAGGAGTATTTGGGAAATGCCCTGTGTGGGCTATTATGAATATTGCTGATAGGAATGCTCATGTGTATTCTTCTGAGCCATGTGCTCATGTGGACTGGATTCTCACCTAGAAGTAAAATTGCTGGATTATAATATGTGCAGGTATCCAATGGTAGGAAATGATGCCAAACATTTTCAAAGTTGCTCTAACTGCACTCCTCCAGCAGCCTGTGAGTTCTCTTTGTTCCACATGATCACCACTTAGTACTAGCCATCTTCCTAATGATTAATGAATTGGGCACCTTTTCATATGTTTATTGGACCTTGAAGCATTGTGTAAAGCATCTGGTCAAGTGCCTTGCTGATTTTTTTTTTAATTGGGATGTCAGATTTTTTTTTTTTTGGTAGTTCTTTATATATTTTGGATATGAGCCCTCTGTCAGTTTCAAGTGTTGCAGATATATTATTTTTATGGCTTGCCTTTTCCCTCTCTTCATGGAGTCTGTTGAGAAATAGAACTTCTTCATTATCATTTAATCTGATTTGTTAAAATTTCATTATGCATGATGCTTTACATTTTAAGAACTCCTTGCCTATCTTAAGGGCATGAATATAGATGTCCTCTTTTATTTTCTTCTGGGAATTTTATTATTTTACCGTTCACATTTAGATCTACCAAAAAAAAAACCTGAAATATATTTTGTGTATGATATTAAGTAGAGATCAAGTTTAATTTTAATCCCTTACAACCAATTGCCCATATAAGCATAAGGTTGTTCCTGGACTTTATATAATTTTATTTTTCTGTTTATCTATCTTTGTACCAATTTCACAGTATTTTACTATCTTTTTGTAATAAGTCCTGGCTTTAGTAAAACGAGTTCTGGTTTGTTCTTTTAAAGATTGTCTTGGCCAGTCTCATTCCTTGATATTTGTGTATGAATTCACACATTCACACACACACACACACACAACCACACAGTGTGTGGGAATTTTTGCATTTGTGATAAGAGTTTTTATTTCTTTTTTTCAAGTCTTGTAATTTTTATTTCTTGAAATATTACATTGGGCAGGAAGAAAACAACGTTGAATATATTCAGGGTGATGGACATCATTAAAAATAATGGCCATCTCTGTCTCAGTGATAGTCCCTGTGGAAGAGATTTCAGCATTTGGCCATTATAGCGTTATATGATACTGGCTTTATGCTTCCTGAAGATGCTATTTGTCAGATTAAAGAAGTTCCTTCCTACTTGTCTGTGTTTTGTTTTGTTTGGGTTTTGGGGTTTGTTGTTTTCAGGTTTTTTGATTAACAGATGTTGAACTTTATCTAAAGCTTTTAAAGACATGGCTTTTTCCTTTATTCTTTTTAAGTGATGAATGCCATTGATGTTTAAATAGTAAATCAATCGCAAGTTCCTAAAATAAACCTAACTTGTCTGTCATACACTTTTCTTTACATATTGCTGAGTTCAGTTTGCTCATGTTGAGGAATTTTGAGCCTATGTTCACAAATGACTTAGCCAATAATTGTTGGGTTTTTGCCTCCTAATATTCCTGTCAGATTTTAGTATCGAGATTACACAGACCTTCTAAAACAAGTGTGGAAGTGTTCCTTTTGCCTCTACAAAAGTTTTTGTCATACTTGTGTTTATTCTTCCTTAAGTATTGGGAGAATTCACTGGATGAGACACGTGGGCCTAAAGATCTTTTGTGTGTGTAGGGTGGTGGTGGAAAACATTTTTAAAATTTCAGATTTTTTAGTCTTTTATATAGAAGACTATTTAAATTCTACTCTCTTTTTGTGTCTGTTGTGAGAAGTTGCATTTTCCTAAGAACTTACACATTTTATCCACACCTTTAAACTTATTGATGTAAAGTTGCTCATAATATTCTCTTCTCTCTTGAATGTCTACTCACAGTGAAAATGGGGTGAAGAAAGAACGTTTAGAATAAGTCCCCTTTATTAGCACTTCCACACACTGCCTGGTGCCACAGGACTCAGATGCCATGACCCCGGCTAGACCCCAGCCCACAGCGGTCTGTCTGTCTACACTGGGCAGAGCCAAGAGGCTCCCCTAGGTCAGGCCTGACAGCAGCCTTAATGTGCTAACTTGGCTCTGTCCCTCTCACTTACTTTTCCCTCCAATTCCCAGCAGGGTATTTCTAGAGGCCTGGAAAATCTTTTCTTCCACTTCCTAGTGAGACCAGTAATGAACTCTGAGAAGCCAAGCAATGTGTGTGCCAAATCCACTCTGCCACCATGCACACTGGATTCTGTCTTTGTTTTATTGTTAAGTCATTATCATTACAATAACATTGATGGTACGGTGGACTGCATTTTTATAAAGTCATCTGAAATAGTAGGAGCCCTTGCTTCTGGTAAGAAGAAAGGTTACCTTTAAAATTGACCGCAGAGGCCCTAAAAGATGTTACAAAAATGTGTATGTACCTTTTTAGAGATAGTTGAGTGCTTCCAATTATATCAGTGAGCTGAAGTTGGCATAGCAATTTACCTTCCACATTTAAATACGAAAAGAGAACTGGAGGAGAGAGCAGCCAACATGCATTTTTTTTTAACCTTAAGTGAGAAGATATTTGGTACAGAGACAAGTCCAAAATAAATCAAGGGAAAAACAGTCTGTTAACTGGAAACATAAAAAATAATGCCTCAATGGGATTTTCTTCCACCAAAAATAATTATAATAATATAATAATAATAATAACTCAACAGCTATGTCCTAAAGTGAGTGGAGGTATTTTAGATTTAAACATTATACATATAATGCATATGTTATTGTACTCATAAAAGCAAATAACCTGCAGAGAAAACTTGACATATGTTTTTCTGTTGCTCTAGTGATTCCTCAAAAAGAGATTTTGATGAGGAAAGAATTCAGAAGGGTTTTTGGTTTTTGATTTTTTTTACCCTGAAGGTTTTAAAAACATCTTTTTTGTTAAAAAAAAAAACACCTCCCACCCCCACAGACACCCTTTGCTGTGCAGTGGCCTCAGGCTCCAGCAGCTGTAGCCCCCCTTCAAGTGGAGTCCATGTGGATGCTTTTACTGGTCTCCACAGCCCTGGCTCTCACTGGGCTTTATAATATGGCCCAGCCCAGAGCAAAACAGGATAAAGGTACAAAATGTGGCCCACGAATATGAGAGACTGGGGGTGGTGAAGGTGGGGGTGGATGGGTAGGGGTGGGGGTGGGGGGTGTTTGCATATTCTGCTCAGGCTCTTCCCCTACAAGGCTCTGCCTCTTCTCAGTCAGCAGGACCAGAAGTCTCTGAGATCTGCCCTACACTCTGGGCTCAGATGTGCCTCCTTTGTGGTACCCCTAGAGTCTGGTGGCCCCTCTATCTGAACCTGTCTTCCCAGAGAGTCAGTAGTCCCAGCAGCTGTCATGACTAACATTTGTTCTTGGAAGCTTCTCAGGGGTGTTTTCCAGTCTTTTGTTTAGTTCTGTTTTACAAGGTCTGATTGGGTTGGGTAGCAGAGATGAAATAGGGTAGCATCCTCTTTCTGTTTACAAGATTTCCCTTTGGTCAGGAGCTCACATGCATGTTGTACCCCAAAGATTCAGGCTTTCTGGGAAATAATGGCTTGGTGAAGGAACAGGCCTTGGGTTTGACTCCCAGATGGGCCCCAGATGGATTGTACTGCTGGCTGGGCAACTCTGGTGGCCCTAGGAGTGGCTCAGGACAGTGGCAGAAAAGCTTCCATCTTAGGGAGCCAGGGAGAGGCCAGCAAAAGACCAGAAGGAATGGGGCCCAGGCTCCCTCCCCTTAGCCAAAGGGTCTAGGGGTGGAGAATTTGGGGAAATTTGAGCATCACCCTTGGGGAGCTAACAAACAAACAAAGTTACCAAATAAAATGGAACCAGCCTTCTGGATATCTGCATTTCTGGATAACTTCAGATATACTTAAGAGGAATTTTTAAAGATTGTGCCTTTTGTTCAGGCCCTTTCAGTGCCAAGTTTAACCAGGGTTCTTCCAAACAGAGCTGGAATCATAGTGAGAAGAGGGTCAGGTCCCTGTCACATCACAGTGGACAGTATACACTTGCACTTATTAGAAATATTAGAAATCTCATTTGATCCTTACTCCAACTCTGTGAGGTAGGCAAGGCAAATATTATCATTCCTGTTGGAGAGATGAAGCACCAAGGCTTGAAAGGTTTAAAGAACTACCCATGGCAGAAAGTGGCCAATGAACCCCTGAAGCCTGGTGCCCTGGGTTGCTCCTTCCATCACTGCTGCATTGCCTCCTCAAACTCATTTTTTTTGGGGGGGGGAGGAGGGGAAATGAGCTGCTCTCTGTGACTGAACACACCTGAAAAAGTGGGTTACTTAGCACTTTTCAAGCCATCCTGAGGGTAAGTTGGCAAGGTCAAAAGGCCTACAACCAAGGGAGCTCCTGGGAAAACCACATGTCTCACATATATGAATGAACACAATTGAACTAAAACGGTTCTCTAGAGAAATATTTGAAATCTTCGACCAGTCTGAGTCCTAACTGCAGTAAAATCCATAGAGATGCTATATTTAACATTTCAACACAAGTTAACAACATTTTGTTAAATACATCTTGGGAGGGGAGAAGGTGGTAGTTAAAAAGAGGGAAGGGCAGAATCTGGGGTCTCTGTGGCTCCTGTAGGCCACAGTTATGGAGGGGGAAGCAACTCTGGCTTCTGGTAGCCCTCATAGCACACTCACTGTGCCCTGGGAGCTGCATGGGATTCAAGCTAATGGCCCTGTTGACCATTGGGAATGAGGTGCCTGTTGGCCCCGAGGCCATTCTTCAAACAGTCTCTCTCTTTGCCTTTGATGACTTCTTCCTTCTCCTCCTCCTCCTCCTCTTCCTCTTCCTCTTCATCCTCATCATCACTCCTCACATCCTGGATGTTCTAGAGAAAGGAAAGAATGGACTGTAAGTGACAACCTTCCAGAAAGAGTCTTGAGTGAATACAAAAACTCAAATCCCAAACACAGAAAGAAAACCCAATAATCAAAAACCAAATATTCTAAAATAAATAAATAAATAATAAAAAATATAAAAAATAAAAAATAAAAATAAAATAATAAAAATAAAATAATAATAATAATAAAAAACAAATATTCACCAAGGTAGACTATATCACAGGTCACAAAAGAAATCTCAACAAACTTAAAGAATTGAAATTATGCAAAGTATATTTCAAATCATAATGGAATTAATCTAGAAATCAATATAAAAAATAGAAAAATCTCAGAACAGTTGGAAATTAAACAACACACATTTGAAAATGGATCAAAGAGTAAGTTACATGGGATATTGGAAATATTTTTTACTAAAATGAAAATATAGTATATCAAAATTTGTCAAATGTAGCTAAAATGGTGCTTATAAGGAGGTTTATAGCATCATAGGCTTATATTAGAAAAGAAGAAAAGTCTCAAATAATTTGAGCTTCTATGTTAAGAAACTAGAAAAAAGAAAAGCAAAGTAAACCCAAAGCAAGTAAAAGGGTAGAAGGAAATAGTAAAGAAATCAATGACATTGAAACAGAAAAAACAACAGAGAAAAGTAATAAAACCAAAAGCTGATTCTTTGACAGATCTGTAAAATTGATAAATCACTAGTAAAATTGACAAAGAAAAGGAGAGAGACGGCACAACTTTCCAGGAAATAAAGAGGAGATTTGACTATTGATACTATAGATATCACAAAAATAATAAAATACAATGAACAATATTATGCATATGTATTTGAAGACTTAGATAAAATGTATCAATTCCTCAAAAACTACAGCCTACAAAATTCACCCAAGATGGCATAGATAACCCAAATAGTCATATAACCATGAAAGAAATTAAACTAGTTAAAAATCTGGAAAAACATCAACAGGCTCAGAACTTTTCACTGGCAAATTCTATGAAACATATGAAGAAGAGATAAGACCAAATTTCCACAATTTCTTCCATTAGATAGGAAGCGGAATATGTCCCAGTTTATTTTATGAGGCCAGAATTATCTTGATACCAAGATCAGAAAAAGACAATAGAAGAAAAAAAAAACAACTACTACAGGCCAATATTTCTAATAAATATACACATAAAAATACCTCAACAAAATAGCCCCAAATGGCCCAAATCAAAACCAGTAATAAAAATAATAATATATCACAATGAAGTGGGATTAGTCCCAATAATGCCAGGCTGGTTCATTATTTAAAAATCAATGAAATATAATCCATCCTCTCAATAACCTAAAGAAAGGAAAAATATACAATTATATTAGTTGAGGCTGAAAAATCATGAAAAATTCTACATCCACTCATGATTTAAAAAACATCAGCAAAGAAGAAATAGAAGCTAACATCATACTTACTGATGAATGACTGAATGCTATTCCCCTAAGATTAGGAACAAAGCAATAATATCTACTTTCACCACTCCTATGCAACATTGTATTGGAAGTTCTAGTCAAGGTAATAAGATGAGAAAAAGAAATAGAAGTCATACAGATTGGAATGAAAGAAATAAAAGTATCCCTATTTGAAGATGACATGATTATCTATGTAGAAAACCCCAAAGAATCTCCTGAAAGCATAAATAAATAAAGAATCTCCTGAAAGCTCCTAACATTCATAAGTGAGGTCACTACAAAGTTGCAAGATACAAGGTCAATACACAAAATCACACACACACACACACACACACAATCTTGATTTCTAAACACTAATGTAGTTGGCTGAAAAAATGTCCTCAAGGATACTAGGTCCTAATCCCTAAAACTTGTGAATGTTATCAGATATGGTAAAGTTTTTGCAGGCAGGATTAAGTTAAGGATCTTGAGAAGATTATCCTGGATAATACAAGTATGCCCTCTGGCCATCCCAAGCATCTTTATAAGAGATACAATGGGAAATTCAACACAGAAAAGAGGCAATGTGAAGATGGATGTAGAGTGGTTATGAGTAAGGAATGCTGGCAGCCACCCAAAGTTGGAAAAGGCAAAGAACATATTTCCCCTACAGCTTCTGGAGGGAGCACAGAATTGCCATATCTTGGCTTCAGCTCATATCTGATTATAGACTTCTGATCTCCAGAACTGTAAGAGAATAAATTTGTTGTTCTAAACTACCAAGTTTGTGGTATTTTGTTACAGTAGCCACAGGAAACTAACATGACTAGTAATGCCTAACTAAAAACTGAAATTAAGAAATCTGTAATATTTAAAATAGTTTTAAAAAATAAAATACTTAGGTATAAATCTAACAAAGCATGTATAAGATCTGTATGTTAAACTTACAAAACTGATGAAAGAAAGCAAATATCTAAATAATTAGGGTGACATACTATGTTCATGGATTAGAAGGTTAAACACAGTAAAAAATGTTAATTATCCCCAAATTGATCTATAGATTCCACATAATACCAATTAAAATATCAGCAAGATTTCTTGTACATAGAGACAAGCTGATTCCAAAAATTATTTGGAAAGGCAAAAAACAAAAACAAAACAACACAAACCAAATCAACCAACCAAACAAAAAAACCCAACCAAACAAACCAGAATAGCTAAATCAATCTTGACAAAGAAGAATAAAATTGGAGGACTCCAACTACCCCAATTTAAAACTTACTATAAAGTTTTCCATATGGGTAATCAAAAAATAAACTGGGTGATATTAGCAAAAGGATAAGAACATAGATCAATGGAACTGCATAGGGAATCTAGAAATAGACCCACATAAATAAAGCCAATTGAGTTTTGACAAAGATGCAAAAGTGATTCAATGGAGAGAGAATACTGTTTTCAACAAATGGTGTTGGAACAGTTAGACATCCAGAGGTAAAAAAATAAACTTCAAACTAAATGTCATACCTTATACAAAAGCCAACTCAAAATGGGTTATAGATCTAACATACAATATGAGAACTATAAAACTTTGAGAAAAACCCATAACTTGGGTTGGGTGAGGAGTACCTAGATGTGGCACAAAAACCAAACTCCATTAAAAGAAAATGAATAAACTGGATTTCACCTAAATAACCTTAATATTATAAAAGATACTATTCAGCAGCCCCTGGGTGGCTCTGTGGTTGAGCATCTGCCTTTGGCTCAGGTCATGATCCTGGGGTCATGGGATCAAATTCTGCATTGGGCTCCCTGCAGAAAGCCTGCTTCTCCTTCTGCCTATGTCTCTGCCTCTCTCTCTGTGTCTCTCATAAATAAATAAATAAATAAATAAATAAATAAATAAATAAATAAAATCTTTTTTTAAAAAAGATACTATTCAGAGAATAAAAGGACAAGGTGTAAACAAGGGGATCGTATTCGGCAACTGCATAGCTGACATGTATGCATAATAAAGAACTCTCAAAACTCAACAATAAGAAATAAGCCAACTGAAAAATGGGCAAAATATATAAAAATAAGCACTTCCTCAAAGAGGACACAGGATATCAAATAAGCATATGAAAAGATGTTCAACACCATCAGCCATTAGGAGAATGCAAATTAAAACCATCATGAAATACATCTATAAACCCATTAGAATAGCTGAAATTAAAAAATACTGACAATAGCAAGTGCCGACAAGGACGTGGAGTGGCTGAAAGGAAATCTTACACGTTGTTGATGGAAATGCAAAATGGTACAGACAACTCTGGAAAATAGTTTGATAGTTGCTTATAAAGTAAAACATACGCATATGTCAGCAATCCCACTTCTGACTATCTATCCTAGAAAAATGAACACTATGTTCATTTTACATTGTGTTCATTTAAACATAAAACAAATGTTTATAACGTCTCTATTCATAATTGTCAAATCTGGAAGCAACCCAAATGTTTTTCAATCAGCAAATGGATAAACGGTGGTACATGTGGACAATAAAGATACTACTACCTACCAATAAAAAAGAACAAAATGTTGACATTTACAAGCTGGGCGAATCTCAAAGGCAACATGCTGAGTGAAAAAAAAATTGGTTTCCAGAGGATACCTACCATATGACATGCTAATGTCATTTACATGCTCTTCTTGAAAAGACAATCTACAGGGATGGAGAGGGATCCCAGGAACAAGGGTGGAGGAAGGAGTGGTTTGGGGTGCAGGACTCATCCCGTATACTAATTATGGTGATGGCTACATAAATCTATCCCTGTGTTAAATTTCATAGAACTTTATGCCAATGGAAAAAAGTCAATTTTACTGATTATGTTTAAAAATCAAACTTAAAAGTATTACTTTTCAGAAAGCAAATAGTGTGGTTTTTCTCAATGAACATTTGCTAAGTAAAGTACCATTCATGTAGGCCTTTTGGCTGTCCAGAAGTCTTTACTGTTGGTAATTAGGATGTTTCCTGTTTTCTTTATGCAGGAACTCCTTCCAGGACAGTTCATGAAGAGGTATGGGTTCCTCTTCTTCCCTCATGGTATTCTCAAAGAAATTCTGTGAGGGGAAACTCCCAGAAGAATGACATGGCCCCTGAGGAAGGGAGGTGAAATTGCTACAAATCAAGCTTCATTAAAAAAGATAAAAGATGATGTGGATTACTAGAACAATACTGAGTACTCAGGCTCTGGGCAAGGCCAGTGTCAGACATGACCCCACACCCTTAAAACTGGCTCACAAACACCTTTATCAAACCCAGACAAGAAAAGAAAATTCTGATTATAGACTTCTGACCTCCAGAACTATAAGAGAATAAATTTGTTGTTCTAAACTACCAAGTTTGTGGTATTTTGTTACAATAGCCACAGGAAACTAACATGACTAGTAATGCCTGACTAAAAACCGAAATTTAGAAATCTGTAATATTTACAATAGTTTTAAAAAATAAAATACTTAGGTATAAATCTAACAAAGCATGTATAAGATCTGTATACATGGAGGATGGAGACTGGTTCTTGACAA